TACAAGGGTGGAGGAATTTTGTAATTAATCCTAAGAAAAAATATCAATAGTAAGAAAATAAGAAAACTCACTAAATGCACAGGGTATATTAAAAACATAATTTTTTTTTAGTGGGAGCAAGTAAAAAAATACTAAATATAAAAGCCAGTCACTTTTATTATTTATTTATTTATGTACTTACTTATTTATCTTTACATATATAAAAGAGTTAAAAGGAGGTTTTCTCTCCTTTAGTCATGTATCAATCTTTCTTGTTTCTTTCATATTTTGTTTTTTGTGTTTCACATTTTATAATTCTTTAAAAATTTTGTTTTCTTTTTGTTTTGTTTTTTTTTTCCCTTTTTTATTAAAACTCCTATACAATTTATTTTTTATTATGTGCATATTTTAAATACTTTTTTTCCCACTTTATTTCTGTCGACACAATTTCTTTCCAATGTATCCTTCATTTTTTGTTTTGTTTTCATTTTTGCCAACGGCTTATGTACATTGCAATTATTTTTTCATGTGTTCTTTTGAAATATATATTTTCTTCTTTTCCTCTCGTGCTCCTTTTGAATAATGTCACAAATGAATTTTATATTAAAAGTGATCCTTATAAATATTTTTATTTCTAATTGACCCACTAAAACAATTTTTTCTCAAATACGTCTCTTCTTAAACAGTTTTTTTTTTTTCACATCACTTGTAACTATTTTTTATAAATACATTTTTATTTGTCATTGTTGAGGTAATTTTTAAAATAAACTAAAAAACACTTAATTGTGTATAAATAAAATTTTCATCATGTAATAAATAATAAACTATTTAAATAATCTCAACGTGGCAAACGCACAGCACGTTCTCAAACTAGTATTTAGTAAAAAGCTCAATTCCTCCATTGGCCTATGGGTTGTTTAGTTGTTAGATTCATGTCATAGTTTGTAATTCGCTATAATATTTTTTTTCATAAAAAAATACATATAAATCAATAATAATTCTGAATCATAATTATGAATTTATCAACTAAACATCCCCTTAACAATTCAATCAAGCGCCAGCAACCAAAAATTTCACTTCTTGTGCTGTGACCCGAGAAGCATCAACCATGGGACACGTGTAGATCTTCACTATCAAGTCTTGCAACTTTCTTTTTCTTTTTTTATAAAATTTTAGATTAATTTCATTAGTGCCCCGTAAACTTTGAATAATTCCAACTTTACCTCAAAATTTTGAAACATTTAAGCCATTTTAAATTTGTCTTTTACATTTTGAATTTGTCCCATTTAAGTCATTTTTCAAAAATTTTTGTTAAAATCAAAAGAAAAATTGGGTTAAGTGGAGGCCTACAATGACGGAGTTAAAAATTTGTTTCAGTGGGACACTTATAAATACTTAAATTCTATGCTAAAAATTTGAAAAAAAAACTAAATTATGACATAAGGAGTTTTTAAATCAAAGCTTGTTTCAAGCATATTTAATTTCAACGTATGCAATGCTCCTCAGATTTACGGATTCGCAGGGGGCCTCAGGCCCTACTTAGTTGACTGACAATGACAAAGAGGCTTGCGTTGGCCGGACGTTTTTTGTCTCGCCCTACATACATAAGGGAATCGAGGAAGACTGGCGCCTACTAAACTAAAATAAGGGGAAGGAAAATATCGCTAGAGAGTTCCCACCATCTTCGTTTGGTCTTCCGTTGAACGGTGTACTCTTTGTCGCTTATTCAGCCGATTATTTCTGTTTTGCTCATAAGTAAGTAAGCGTGAACGACATTTTTGGAACGTTAGTCTTTCGGTTTGTGGCGTTCCTACTTCCATATCTTCAACCCTCCCTCTAGGTCTAGAGTCCACCTTTTCTAAATTTTGATGATGACGTGCTTACATTCCAACTCCCGTAGGGTGTAGAGCTACATTTCTCATTATCGTGTTCCAGTTTTCCTCAAGGTATAGAGTCGATATGTTGCGTTCTGGAGATGAAGTTGCAAGAAGTACAGAGTCGATGTTCCAGAAGGTTTTTGGACATGTGCATGTGGAGAACTAACGGAAGTGCCAAAAGTTAGTTATATGCACATTGGGGACATCTAAGGGGATGTATATTCCTATTATTTATTTTTTTTTAAAAGATATCTCGTTCATCTATCTTTTGTCTATCTATCATTGATTCTATCTATGAATCAAGTCGAAAGACTTCGTTTTTGGGTTCCCCGAAATCCAAAAATAATGTTATATTATCACTTTTTTTTTTTTTTGGTTTTTAGAGCAGGCTTATAGTTTTTATTTTGATTGTATCTATATGAAATAAGGACCAATTTTTTAGGGAAATAACGATCTTTTTTAATTTAGTATAAAATAAAATGAAAATTATATGTGAATATAGCAATCAATTGTCATAGCAATATATTTTCTTATTGTGCATAATCGTAGTAATATATAACGTTTAATCAATGAAGAATAAATGCTCATTTATTTCGCTGATTCGAGTTTTTAATTCGAGTTGAGATATGACTTTATGTAAGAGTTTTTTTATTGTATCAAAAAAGTTAAATGTGACTATTTTTTAGAGCTTTTCACTATAACAAATTTTGAATCAGTAAAATAAATGAGACCTAAATTTATGTAACTAATAGTTGTTAAGCTAAAAAGTTTTGAAGGAGAAGTACAAGTTTCAACCAAATTCAGGCGTTTTAAAAAAAAAAGTGAGAAAAAATGTAAAGATAAAAAAGAGAGGAGAATTCGTGAAGAGATTTTGAAATAGATAAAATACATTTTTACGATGGTTATGTGTTAAAAGTTAAAAAGAATAAAAATTTGAGTCGGGGCAAATAAAAAAAACAAATAATATATAAAAAATAGAATTTGAAAAAATTTAGTAAGGGTATGTGACTTTACTAATTTCTTAATGCATCCGTGTTTGCGGCATGTGATTTTTAACTGTTTATTTTTATTAAAAATTTAAATAAAAAGATTATATATGATAGCATTATTCTCATTTTTTTTATTTTTTTTTAACAAAAATCACAACATAAAAAATTAAATAATAACAATTAAAATTAAATAATAAAATAAAAATTTTTAAAATTTAAAAGACAAACTAATAAGAATGATTCTAAAGTCAAACCACCAGTGATAATAATCATACATGTTAGAACCGGTTATGAGCTTTTACCGTGTTTTCTTATAAAATTGATTAAGGATTACCAAAGCAAAGCACAAAAGCAGAGTAAATACCACGCAACGATTAAACGTGGTTCAGTCAAACTGACCTACACCCACGGGGCCACGCCCAGACATCAAGCAATCCACTAATAGGTAAAAAGTTACAGACACTAATAGGACTTAACCAACTCAAGACTCCCTCTTGACTATCGACGCCGTTGTGTCTAACACCCTAAGTAGCTAGCTTGGCGAGCACCACTCGACTTCAAACGCCTTCTCCCGAAAGCTCACAAAATCTTCTCTCAAAGAACGAAGATGATGGACGCTCTATCTCTTTAACTTGTGCACGCTGTACTTTATCAGAATTTTCGTCCATCAGTTGATTCCTCGTGCAGCAACCTTTTATAAACTGATCTAATTCAAAATCAGAATCTATCTCAAAATCTGTAGTTACAGATAAGACAGTTATCAGTTTAAAATTCAAAACACGTAATCTGCTTCGCATATTCCAGTTTCAATTTCCTTGGCCCAGATTTTCAGCACTCCAATCTCTTTATAGATGATATATTGATCTTCAAAACAAAATCATCATGAAATACGGTTTTGAATAAACCTTTTATTCAAACTAAAACAAAATCTTTAACAGATATTTGTTTCAACTTCAAATACTGTGTTAATCGTTGCATGGTATTTACGCTTTTACCGTGTTTTCTTATAAAATTGATTAAGGATTACCAAAGTAAATCACAAAAGTAGAGTAAATACCACGCAACGATTAAACGTGGTTCAGTCAAACTGACCTACATCCATGGGGCCACGCCCAGACATCAAGCAATCCACTAATAGGTAAAAAGTTACAGACACCAATCAGACTTAACCAACTCAAGACTCCCTCTTGACTATCGACACCGCTGTGTCTAACACCCTAAGTGGCTAACTTAGCGAGCACCACTCGACTTCAAACGCCTTCTCCCGAAAGCTCACAAAATCTTCTCTCAAAGAATGAAGATGATGGACGCTCTATCTCTTTAACTTGTGCACGCTGTACTTTATCAGAATTTCGGTTCATCAGTTGATTCATCGTGCAGCAACCTTTTATAAACTGATCTAATTCAAAATCAGAATCTATCTCAAAATCTGTAGTTACAGATAAGACAGTTATCAGTTTAAAATTCAAAACACGTAATCTGCTTCGCATATTCTAGTTTCAATTTCCTTGGCCCAGATTCTCAGCACTCCAATCTCTTTATAGATGATATTTTGATCTTCAAAACAAAATCATCATGAAATACGATTTTGAATAAACCTTTTATTCAAACTAAAATAAAATCTTTAACAGATATTTGTTTCAACTTCAAATCGTGGTTTAAATCAAAATACCAACACAATCTTGGTCTTTTTCACGAAATCCTCAGAATCTTATCTTAACTCAAAACTGTGAAGCTGATTTCTTTTATTTGAACGAACCCAAAAGCTGATCTTCTTCTATTCGAACGAACCCAACAAATTCGAAAGACTAACTCTAGATTTTGTCAAAACGCACAGCATAACTTAAGGAACCAAACGACTCAAACAAAAACTGTACGACATTTCTTGACACTTTTAAAATAAATAATCTAAACATGAAACCTAACTAAGTCAACTAAAACTCAAAACATAAAAATATAGTCAAAATGACCCACACCCCTCAACAATACAAGTAGACGACAGTTTGGTAGGTAGGTTTTAATGAGTTGTGGTTCCAAACTGACACCTCAGCCAGTGTTACTTCTAACGCAACTGTTATCCAACGTGAAAAGTTGGTGGTGGCATTTAAATTCTGCAGCATAGTGGGAGAGGAGTAAATAGGAAGGAACTAATCAAAATTAGAAAACAAAACCCAATTATAAACTCCTTTAAAAAGAAAGAAAAATATCTTATTTTTGAGATCAATATCTTTGGATGATATTCAGCATGGAAGCAGTAGAGGAAAGCTTAGCTGAAGCAAGACAAACCCTCAGAAGTGGCCAAACTAGAAGTGTTGCCTGGAGAAAAAAGCAACTCAGAGCACTTTTTGAGCTAATTCATGATAATGAAGAAAAGATTTTCAAGGCACTCGATGATGATCTTGGAAAGCACCCAACTGAAGCTTATAGAGATGAGGTAAATAAGTCATCTAAATCACAATTTTTTAACTAATTTAATTTGATTGTCATTTAATACCAATTTCATGGTTGCTAGATTGGAGTAGTAATAAAATCCTTGGATTATTCTTTGAGCAATATTGAGAAATGGGTAGCCCCTAAAAAGGTAACTTGATCATTTTTTTAAGTTTTGTTTTCTCATGTTGTGTGCTCTTTTGGGGAGAAATTAGCTAATGAAAAATTTGGGTTTGGGTTTTTTGGAATTTTGGGCAGAGCTCAGTGCCTATGCTTTTCTTCCCAGCAAAAGGAGAGGTGATACCTGAACCCCTTGGAGTTATTCTCATATTTTCATGTTGGAACTTCCCTTTTTGTGAGTCCAAAATCTATATTCTGATGCTATTCAATCTCATATATTTAAGCAAGAACTTTCATTTGTGTTTAGAAATAGATGATTCTGATTTCTGAAGAAATAGTGATAAAAAAAAAAAAAGCTATCTGTCGTATGTGCAGCCTTGGCATTGGACCCGTTGATAGGGGCAATATCGGCTGGGAACACAGTGATTCTTAAGCCTTCAGATCAAGCCCCAGCATGTTCTTCTTTTCTTGCTAATACCATTCCTCTTTACTTGGATTGCAAAGCCATTAAAGTCATTGAAGGAGGAGCTGAAACTTGTGAAAGACTTCTGCAGCAGAAATGGGAGAAGATATTTTTCACTGGTATACATCACTTTCAAGGCTTACCTTGTTTCAATTGACTTGATTAAGCTATAGCCTAAATGAATAAAGAATTCAAAAAATTATTAAAATATTTTTGTCGAAGACTTGTCTTATGTATATGTCCCATAAGAGCCTTTCTCAATGTTCAAATCAAAGTGTACTCAATTTTTTATGTCCTGTCACACATAATTTTATCCAAAGTACTAAATATGTTCATGAATGTCATTTTCAGGAAGTGCACGGGTGGGACAAATAGTCATGACGGCGGCTGCAAAGCATTTAACACCAGTTGTTCTTGAGCTCGGCGGAAAATGCCCTACCATCTTAGATTCCTTCTCTAATCCTCGAGATTTTAAGGTTGGCTTATTTGCAGCTCAAGAGTATATTTGTTATGAAGTTTTAGTCCGTGTTTTGTACCAAAATTGCTTAATCTCTATTTGAAGGTGGCAATTAAAAGAATTGTTGGAGGGAAATGGGGGCCTTGCAGTGGGCAAGCATGTATTGGAATAGACTATCTTCTTGTTGAGGAAAAGTTGGCTTCCACTTTGGTAAACACCTGCTCAAATTAGCTATCTTTAAATATGTGGGAATATATTGGATTTGAGATGTATTAAAATTCATAAGTAATGCTTTTTTTCCCGACTTTCTTAGATAGATTTATTGAAGAAAATAATCAAGAGATTTTATGGAGAAAACCCAAAAGAGTCCAAGAGCGTAGCCAGAATTGTCAATAAGCATCACTTTGCGCGGCTGCGCAATCTTCTCAAGGACCCTCTTGTTGCAGCTTCAATTGTGCATGGCGGTTCGCTAGATGAAGATAGCCTGTAGGTTTTAAATGTTCTCTGCTCTTGCCATAGCTTGTAAGATAAGTGTTTTCTTGAAGAACTTTTCTTTGATTTTAAACAGACAATTACCGATTTCGTCTGCAAAATTTTCAGGTTTATTGAGCCAACAATCTTGTTAGATCCTCCTCTTCATTCTGAGATAATGACTGAAGAAATATTTGGCCCCTTCCTTCCTATAATCACTGTGAGAAAAGATATTCTAACACAATTCTTTTTGACGTACCAATGATTCAAGAATGACCATGATCTCGTTTTTTCTTCTTTTTACAACTTTTGGTGCTCCTTGTACAGCTGAAAAACATTCAAGAAAGCATTGAATTCATAAACTCAAGGCCAAAACCTCTTGCCATTTATGCATTTACCAAAGACGAAACACTCAAGAAACGGATTATATCAGAAACATCATCAGGAAGCGTGACTTTCAATGATGTTATGATCCAAGTACTACATTATTTCTCTTCTCTCTCTTAATATTTCACCAAAAAACTTTTTCAAAAAGAAAAAAAGAGGAAGAAAAATATACATAGAGGATCTTACTTTGTTTTACGATCCTGTTATGTGCAGTTTCTGTGTGAGACGCTGCCGTTTGGCGGTGTTGATCAGAGTGGTTTTGGGAGGTACCATGGGAAGTATTCCTTTGATACTTTCAGCCATGAAAAAGCAATCATGCAAGGAAGTTTCTTCCCTGAAATTGAGGCAAGGTATCCTCCATGGACAGCGTTCAAGCTCAAGTTCATCAGATTGGCATACCGGCTTAACTACTTTGGCTTAGTTCTACTTCTCCTTGGTCTCAAACGATAGGGATCATATTACATCACCCCAATTTAGTATTTGCCTTGCTTTTTATCTATAATATCAGCTTATGTTTGTGTGTATGTATATCCCCATTTAAACTTCATGTTCAAGTGGGAGACTCAACCCAAGTTTACTCATTAAGTACTCGAATATTTGAGCTAAGAATTATCTCTTTTCCTGTTAATAATTCCATCTTTCAAACTCCAAACTTTTGTTGAAAAACTTTGTTAGAATTTATGAGTCACAAACTTGCCGCTTGACTTTGCGATTAACTAAAAATCAATGGTAATCATAATTAGTTGTGATTCCGATTAAAAAAAAAAAAAAAAAAAAAAAAAAAACTAATCATGTTAAGTTCACAAATAAAGATATAGCAATGTTAATGTTGTCTTGCAGATTAGTATATCTCATACGTGTAATACCGATGATGCAAGTAAAACTCCTCATAGTTAAAATAAATAAATAAATAAATGAAATAAAAAAAGGAAAAAAAAAAAAGAAAAAATTGGTATTTGGTATGGTGATTCGTGTGGTTCGTAACTCGCTATAATATTTTTTCTCACAAAAAATACACGTAAATTGAGAATAGTTTTAAATTATAGTTCTAAATCCGTGAACTAAACGTCCACTAAAACTCCTTCTAGAGTTAAAAATCCACCGGCTCAAGAGCATGTTTTCGTTGTCGTCTCACTAATTAAGATTAGTGGCTTTTCTTATAAACTTAAAATCTTGACATAATTATAGGATCTGTTAGTGATTCTGATTATTGACGGAAATTTTATGACAGAAAAAATTTTTAAATTTAAATTTTTTGTGAAATAAAAAATATTGTAGTAAGATCAGAATCACAAGTTCAAAAACTAAGCAGGGCTTTAATATCACGGATGAGACAAATTTTAGGACAACACATTTCAACCTCGTTCGCTTCGTAGGTTTAAGTTTGTAATTTGAGCTGAATGTGACATTTTTTAATAGCTTTTAATTGTAATAAAAAAAGGTTAGATATAATATTTTTTGAGAATTTTTAACTGTAAAAATATAAAATAAAAAACTCAAATCGGTGAAATGAATAAGTCTTTCAACTATTTTTCATATATCAATGCACATATGAGGTAAAATAGATGGGCACCTGCGACCAATGAGCTGCCACCACGTAAGCATTTGACTTCTATATTTCAAGGAATAAAGCTAGAGGACATCTGTGGTGAGCAACACCATAACAGTTGGCGCTACATGGCAGCAGACGTGGATTTTTGTGGGACCCATAAAGTTGCGCAAAAATCCTGTTTTATAACTTGTGCGGCCCATGAAAAACTTACTTCTGCACCTTTCTTTCTCCTTCTCTTTCTCTTCCTTGTTTCTTGGCCCACCCATTAAAAAATTTTAAGTCCGTATAGTTCACTAGTTTTAGTTTTTAATTTGAGTTGAGATGTAATTTTATATGAGAATTTTTTATTGTAACAAAAACATTAAATGTGATTATTTTTTAGAGCTTTTTACTATAGTAAAACTCAAATTTTAAACTCGAATCGGTGAAATAAACAATTTTGTTTATTTTAAATTAGTTACGGGGCAAATTTTACTGACTCTTGCCCTTGTTCTTTAGGTAACAATGGTAAAATGCTTTCTTTTACTTTTTAAATATAAAATACGATCCCTTTTCTTTCTCTAGTTATTCCATAAATCCATCTCAAAATGGGCACCCACGCGTGGTCTAGGCAGATCGGTGATCATGTTACATTCCGCGAGCCAATCAATAACTGGCGCAGCAGCGACTATGGCGGCATGGCCACCGGAGGAGAGGGAGAATGAAGGCAAAGGGTCGGGGGTTTCTTATAAGCACCAAATCAGTTTTTTTTTTTTTTTTTAAGCAACTAAATATAGGCATCTCACTTTTTTTCTCTCCCTTTTTGAGCCCAATTGCAGAGAAGTGAAGAAGGGAGGAGGAAGAACGAAGGAAGGAACAGATTAACTAGCTTGCTGAGTAAGTTGTTTGTAGGTAGCTTGCTAAGCAAGTTGTGTATATGTACGTAACAGACTAACTATAAAAGGAAGAAGAAAGAGGAAGGAGAGATATCAAGATGGTGGGTCCCGCGGGAAAATTTAATTATTTTGATTCTCAATTCGGTTTTCAAACTACTTTTATACCCTCTTTTATTTCACTCATTTAAAATTTTAATTTTAATTTTATTAGAGTTAAATTTTTTTATTAAAAATTACATTTAAGAGACATTTGATTCATAAATTAAAATTATTTTTAATTTATGTGTATTTTTTTAAAAAAAATATTGTAATAAATTACGAATTATAATTTAAATTAGAATACGAATCTCCCAACTAAACAACTCTTTAATTTTTTTGTTACAGTTAAATTTTTCACATAAAAACATATCTTAATTTAAATTAAAAACTCAAATCAATTAATTGAATAATGTCTAAATCAATTCTTTAAAACAATGATGGGTCCCACAAAAAATTAAATTATCAGCCAGCTGATTGTCCACGTAATTTGTCACATCTTTTGGTGTTGCTCACCACCCCCTAGCTTTACTCTATTTCACATGTTGCTTCAAATACGTGCGGAAGCCAAAATCGACCAAATTTGCCCCTAACGAACGGATGTTAGGGCGTCAGTGCATGGAAACTGCTCTGCAACTTCATCCCCTGCGTCGGATCCTACTCTACACCTCATCTCTACCCAATCACAGCCCGTCGAATCCGCAAAACCTCCGGGCCCATGCGATCTATTCCGCCAGAGAAGCTCTCTCCTTAAAACGACGCCGTCCAGCAAACACGATCGCCAGACAAACTAGGGCTCCCGCACAGACGACGGCGCTAATGGCCGACAAGGCTCCGAAGAACACCGCCGCCACGCTTCCGTCGGAACCGGCAACGCAGGACATATCTGAGAAATCTCCGCCGCGTCCTCCGCCGCCGGAGAAGCCGTTGCCGGGAGATTGCTGCGGTAGCGGATGCGTGCAGTGCGTTTGGGATCTGTATTACGAAGAGCTCGAGGCCTACAACAAGCTTTACAAGACCGATTCCGATCCCAAATCGAAGGCCTCTTGAGCAAGGGCGAAAATTGTTCTAATTTTCTTGAATTCGCTTGAGAATTTGTTTAAAGAACCAATTTTTTCGCGTTGAATAAAATTTCCCAAATCTCAGCTGCCTTACTTTTGCTGTCGTTTTTCGATCGGGCCGGTCATGGTTTTCAATGGTCCTGGGCCCAGTGATTGTTTCCAATTTCACTTTCTTGTCTCCTTCCATGCGTCGTTTGCAGGTGGGTCTTGTCGTTCTTCTTCTTCTTCCTCTAGGGCTGACGGCTTCCCTGCTGTTCGAAATCGTATTCTCCGTTCGTCACGCTTCTCTCTTTTTACTTTCTGAACTCTGAAATTGAAGATCGATTTCAATGGTTAATTTAGTTCCTAAGCTTAATTTATTCTTCATTTGTTACTTTCGCTTGTATTGAATTGGGGATAAGAATTTTATGATAAACGATCCAGCTTGTGTTTTTGTTGGTGAATTTGGGATTTCGTAATTGACTGGAATGATCTTGATTAAACTTGAACTTTGATTTGATAAATAGGTATATATGAAGTGAGGTTATGAATTAGGGCCAGTAATTGCGTAATCAAAGGCAACTGTTCTGGTTGTTTGTACCAATTCTTTTAAAAAATCCGTTCTTTGCTAGTTTCAGAACGTAATTATTTTTCTTGAAAAAAGCATTTTTGTTTTGGATTAGTAATTGGGTGTCCCATTTTTTTTAATTTTTTTCTTAAGCACTTGTAAATCAACTCTTACAAATGTAGCTAACATGTGAGCCAGACAGTTCCTTACAGGGTGTATGGCAAGAAAAAATGCTTGGGTGCTAAGCACTATACGTAAATAATAAGTGAACTTGTTAGCTCAGAGAGCCCTCACCGTGTCGTTTCAGGAATTTTTTCTGACGTACTTCACATATTTTCATAAAATGATTTTCTCAGTATAAATGATCTTTCCTGATATTGAGGGGCTCGATCTTATCAGTTTAATTTTTTGGATTTTTCTTAGCTTTTATTTGTAAAGCTTTTTTCTGACGTATTTCACATATTTTCATAAAATGATCTTCTTAGTATCCGTATAAATGATTTTTCTTGGCGTTGAGGGACTCGATCTTACTGGTTTGATTTCTTGAATTTTTTCTAGCTTTTATTTGTAGTGTTTTTGTGTGTAATATGGGTTGTGGTTTCCTCACCTGACCCTCGTTTCATTTGTAGTTTAGTGATCGACTTAATGTTGTTGTTTGGTTAGGTTTTGATCGGTGGGTGAATTTGCCTTCCGCTCATCTTTTCATAGGAGATTTGCTCTGTTGTTGGGATAGGGGTCCCTCCAACATCTTCTGAGTAGGCTAATTACCTGTGTGTGGTGCGTCGTTGGTGTGTGGCGGACCTTGATTTCACTTGGTGGTTTTCTAGCCCTTCAGTGCTTTTTCCATTTGCGATTATGGTTGTTGATCTTGTGGGCTTTGTCCCTCCGTTGTATTTGTAGCTCCTTTGTGGCTTTTTAATAGGGAAATAGTAGAAAATAGGTCAATATGAAAAGCTTAAGAAAGTATATAAGCCAATTTTTAGTTATAGAAATTAATAGGCCATAACTTGTCAAGTTATAGTTCATAACCAGATAAGTTATGGACAAACTTGTCAAGCTATGGTTCATAGCCAGACAAGTTATGGACAATTATGGACAATAACTTGTCAAGTTATGGTTCATAACCAGATAAGTTATTGACGAAAACAGTAATTTGACCTATTTATTAACTTATGTAAACTATTAACCTATTAATTTTAATTCATCTCAAACCTTAACCTATTTTCCTCTTTCTCCCTTTTTAATAATATTTCTCTGTTAGGAAAAAAAAAGTGAACCGGTTTGTGGACCTCATATTGCTGGATCCACCCCGTATTAGGGTGGGTTTGGTATTGATTCTGGGAGAATAAAAGCACTTATTGAGACAGTAGAAGCTATTAAAGCTGTTTGGTAAAAAATAAAACAATAGATTTTTGAAGAATTTCTAAACAATCTGAAGCTGAAATCAGAAGTAGCCTAAATGCTGATTTTGATTTTAGCTTATGCGGGATTCTGGTAAGGGAGTTTAATGAAACTTTCTTATTCCCAATTGTACCCTAATGAAATCTCAAATTTACCACCTGTATAATCACATTTTTCAGACTCATCTCCTCTCTTCTCCTCTCCGTCCTCTCTCTTCTCTGGCTCGGTCTGCAGCGTTATATCTGTCTTCGTTCTCTCTTCTCTCTTGTCGTTCTCCGCTAATCTATCTCTCTGTTCGCCTATCTGTGCTCGTTTGATTTCTCCTCTATGTGATTGTAGGTTGCCAGTCTCCCTGTTTGCTGGGTCTCCTCCTCCGACTGCGCACCATTATCTACTTCGTCATATATATTGCCTCTGTAAGTACTCGAACTCATCTTGATAAAATTGTGTGTGTGTGTGTATATATTTTCTGAATTTAATGTTGTTTCTCTGTTTTTCATGTTTAGATTTTTTTTGGGTAATTGAAATTTTGTCGGATTTCTTGGTAGAGAAAATACTATTAGAAGTGCATTTATGGACCCTCTCTTGTTGCCTTTCCCCCCAAAGTAGACAAATCAATTTTTTAGGTTGAGATTGCTTTGCCAGTTTTGTCCCCAATTTCTTGCAATCGGAATCCAAAATGTTTTTGACCCCTTCACTTCGCTCTATCACGTCTTAGCTGCTTCGTTCGGTTGCTCAACAGTACAGAAGAAAAGCCATGGCAAGTTATTGTGCTCCGTCTTCGTTTTCACCTTTTATTCACAAGTTTACTGGAAGGAACTCCATGGCTATGGTGGGTTTACTCTCTTATGCACCCAAAAGCCCCACGCCCATTTCTCTCACCAACAAAAACTTAACTTTCATTTTGCTTTCAACTGTAAGGAAGCCTCTCAAAAAGTCATTCCAAGGTGATTTCTTCAATCCCTATTTGTTTCAATTGTGATTTTCCATTTGGGTCCCATCAATTTTTAATTTTTTTTTTCTTTTGTTGGAAATTTCACTGGGACTTTTATTTCTTGCTCTTTGAGTTTAGATTTTTCATTACTGTTGACAGTTAGTTCAGTGTTGAATTTGATGGTTTTAGTGAATGTTTATTTAAAATTAAAATACTCAATTGGTTTTTTTTTGTTTTTATTTTTTTGTTGCTGTTGGGTTTTCTTTTGATGATAACTGGTTGAGCTTGGTAGGACGGAAGATACTTGAATTGGAAAATAGTAGAAACAAATACGTTTGTAGTTGATTATTAGTATTATTATTATAACTCTTTTACATGTTTATTATTATTTTTTTGAACAATTCAAGAAAGAAGAATATGATATGGGCATTCAGATAACACAAAATTGAATGTGTTGTACTATTTCTTTTATCAGTTTAGATTAGTGGCTGCATTTAGAGAAGCAGTTTTCGGGGGTGGTGCTATTTTGAGTTTTAGATTATTTTGGGCATCGTTTTCTGTTCAATACTTAATTTTGATAGTTTTTATTGGAGATGGTTTATGTTTAGATGATAAAGGTGGTTGTTATCATGTATGGTTGAGCTCGCTAAAGAATCAAGGAAATTGTATGCATGGAAGATGCTTGGAGTGGAAAATGGTAGAAAAAGATATAATTACTTCCCATTTTTCATTATCTTTAAAGGAAAGGGAACAAGTTTGGCCACCTTTTAGGAACTGTTGTTAAATGAGAAGCGTATGATGTGGGCTTTCAGAGAAACACAAAATTGAGTGTCTTGTGTGCTTATCGCAAGTTGAGACATGTATAACTATTTGAGCTTTGAACTTGTGGATCTTGCACCGAATAGGAGAATGAGAGCATAAAGAGTGCAGTAAAAATAAACTGTTCACTGTTTGTCAAAGGTGTTCCCCCCCTCCCCCTGTTTTTTTGTAGATTAATTGGCACTAAATACAATTACCTTGTTCACTAACTTTACTTTCTGTTCTATGCGGATGTCTTTCATGCTTAAAACTTGATTGAAGTTGATGAATCTTTTACTTATTGCCCTTTGGATATTTTGCCATTTCCTTATTTTTAATAACAATATGTTATTGTTTGCAGAACCCTCTTGGCAATTTGTTCCTTTTGCCTCTACCTTCCTTAGCCGATATGAGTTCTGCAAAAGAGGCATTCAGACGCAGAAAGAGCCAATTAGCCCTGCCATTGAAGATTTGCAGGAGGACTCTGTAAGCATGAGACCGACTTCGGATTCCTTTAAAGTTTCAACATTACGAAACAAAGCCTTACGAGCAAGCTCATGAGCCAAAACATTATCCGACCTGGGAATCCATTTGAAAACTATCCTAGAAGGATCCATGATTGCCGCAATAGTATGAAGGAAGGAGGAAGTCACTGTCCAGTCTGGAGGATGCACTCTAATCGACAAAGCCTCCATGCACACTTTAGAATCCCCTTCACTTTAGAATGGATAAGGATGTAATTTCTTTGTCCTATAATTAATTATCATTTGACTTAGCCTGTTTCTTGGCATAAAATTTCTCAATAAATTTATCATATTTTCTTACAGATTTTTTAGAAGAACCCTACCAAAATTGATAATTATGGTATTTGGTTGCGTTATCAAGATTGACAATTTATCATTATGCTTCTTTTAGTTGAAATTATATTGTGAATGAAGAAATGAAAAAAAAAATTAATTATCATAAATTTATTATTAAAAAATTCAAAATCATAGCATTATGTTTTTTTAAAGTTAAACAAGTATTTCTAAATACCAAAAGTAATTATATGTATTTAAATTGCATATCATGTCTATTTTGGTCATTTTACATACCCACAGCAATTCAACCTCAAAATTTACCAAACGCTATTACACTGATTTTAGAACCAGCACAGTTATTATAATTACAGTTTACTAAATACTCAGTTGCTTCTTCTAACAGCTGCTTCTTCCTTCAGCACAGCTAAAAGCAATTTTTCTAAAATCCACAGCATTACCAAACTAAGCCTTAGTGTGTTGTTCTTAGGATCACTTGTGTTGTTCTTAGGACCACTTGTGTCCAATAGTATTGTTTGTATAGCAGACTGACCCACAGTGAGAGATACCAATTGTATATCTTCAATTGTACTAGAGTCCGACGACCTCGGATTTTAGCTTTGATATGCTTATGCAACTATAAATAATGACAGAAGATGCCTTTTTTAAGATACTTGGAGTTAAATGTTGAAAAGCTTAATTAGAAATAAAAGCCATAATAGGGAACTTATAGTACAATTTCACCCATTATACGATTAGGGTTAAAACTGCAAATAGTTATTAAATAAGAAGATTGTTTTCAAAAGGGTTTGTCCAGAATCTAATGGTTAACTTTTGGAGTGAATATCAGAGTTCTTTCCACTGTTGCTAGAATAGAAGATTGTTTGGGAAAAAAAATCTGATGTCGTAATGCTATTTTTATTATTATTACGCTCCCT